CCAGGATTCCCCAGCCAGCCATGCTGGCTGGGGAATCCTGGGAGTTGAAGTCCACCCATCTTAAAGTGGCCAAGTTTGGACAACACTGGTTTATTGAGCTAATCTGTGTGGAAATTGCAGATCAGACCTGCTTGTCTCATGCTCGTGGGCTGCTAAAGCTCATGGCTCCAAAACAGAGTATCAAATAAGACATTGAAATGAAATGAAATGAAATGAAATGAAATTGCTGAGATCCAGCTGTGTAGACTTTGGTGCCTGCAGTTGCTGGGAACTGTAGTCCCTTTCTGTGCAGAAGGCAGGAATGAAGCCAAAGGCCTTGGTCAAAAACCCAGAAACCTCCAGTCCAAAAAGGTTAGGTTTTTGCCAGGGGTGTCTGCAGGGGGTGGTTGAAAAAGTCAAGATGGCAGCTATGATGGTGTGATCCAGCATCTGCTTTTTCTTAATGTAAGTCATAGCTGCATTTCATTTGGGAATGTGTATATGTGTGTGTGTGTGTATGTGTGTGTGTGTGTGTGTAGGTATGTGTATGTGTAAGTGCACACAGACACACACACACCGTTGCTAGCAGCTTCTTGCTGCCCTGAAAAAGCAATGTAAAAAGAAGAAATTCCATGCTTTTTGCAGATCAGCAAACCTGGAGATCAGTCCAAGCACCGTACAGGTCACGGAGGTCTCTCCAGGGTGCTGCTCATTTTACAGTAACGGCTTCATTTTAGTTTTCTCATACCCCACCCCTGCAAGGTAGGCCTTTCCCCGATTTTTTAAATTGCATCGAGTGGGAAAAGGGGGCCAAAACTGGAAGACATTTTTCTGGCTGGGGAGCCCCATGTTGGGCTGAAGTTTGTTCACGATCCTGTTGTTTCTGCTTGCTTCCTAGGCCCCCCTTGTTTTCTTTGTTTGCGCCCATCGGACAGCCCTTCCCAGCTGCCCCCCCCCTCGATTTTGGACGTGAGGCCAAGGACAGGATCGTACTCTAGGTAAACTTTTACCCTCTAAAACAAAGTTGGTCTTTTAAGGTCTCTTTCCAGAGTGTTTCAGGAGAACTCCCTGCACCTGGTCACTCTCTGACTGCGATGTGCAATTGCTTAGGGGGATGACGAATTTAAAAACAAAAATTAGAAATGGTAATTTAAAAATACGGTGGCATGGTGAGGCTTAACAGACACTCAAACTTCCAGGCCTTGGAAAAATAGTCCACCAGGGCAGGGACGCCCACAGGGGTGGCTGGGGGTCAAAAAACCCGAAGATGACTGCTTTGATGAGGCAGCTGTGGCCCCCATCTTGACTTTTTTGACCTCTGCTCCCATGTATGCCCTTGAAGTGGGATAAAATGTACATCTGTGAGCATCTGTCCATTGTGCTGAACGTGCAACCTCTTTATGGCTCCGGTTTCCTTGAAAATCTGCCCTGGAAAGGTGCCACTCCTTGGTCGACCCTTTGTTGGGTTTCCCATTGCATGTAGGTTGGGTTCTGTGCCAAATTCCAGAATGCAGGCAGGGCGCAAGTGAGAACCGGGATGTTAGGAGGGCCGGGCTCCCCTCCTGGGCCATCAGCCCCTGATCTGAGTTTGGTTACGTGCAGCGGTGCCACAGAGGGTGAAATGATTGCTCGTCTTAGGGAAACGGAAGAGTGGTTCTGCGGGGTATTTGCCTCTGTGGAGGGTTGGAGACTTCTCAGAAGCACATGGACAGGTTTTCCTACTTTCCTGCCTTGTTGAGCAATGCCCACGGCTCAAAATTAGGTGTAGCCCCCACATTTGCTCCTGGGGCAGCGTAAAAACTGGAAAAAGTTTGCATTCGCTCCTCCCCCTGCGCTTCAGCTGCAAACGTTTCCACCAACAGCGGATGAGTTTCTGTGGGTTGAGAGCAACCTTCATTTTTCTTTTCAGGTCTTTTTTTTCCTGCTTTCGGGGGATTCTTAAGAATGAGAAGGGGGCGGGGGGCAGGAAGCCCGTGAAGGGAAGCGGTCCAGCTTCCATTCTTAAAAAGCGTTCTTAACTCACGCGGGTGACGTTAGGCAGCCGAGGGCTCCCAATTTTGGTGCATGGCTTGGATTATTGGCGGAGGTGGGCGAGCTCCAGCTGTGCTGGACGCCAACTCCTGTCCTCCCCCGCAGCTGGAGGTGGTGGCTGGCCACCCCAGGGCCCCGCCGCAGCCTCGTCTCCCCTGCCCGTTCCTAGAAGGAGGCCTCTGGGTTTCAGCAAAGGCAAACAGAGCCGGGAATCCGGGCGCTCTCGTCTGTCCCGGCCGTCCTCCGTTCCTTATAAGGCCAGGAGCAAGGGCTGGGGAAGAGACGGTCTGGCTGGCATACCAGGCATGCCCCGAATTCTTCCGAGCCCTCCTGCGGGTGGCTGGCCCCTATGCTCAGAACTGGAGCTGAGCGTCGCCCCCGGAGAAAATCCCATCTCCGGGAAACGCTTCTCCTTGTGCACGAGATAATTGTCTGCTCCTAAAAAAACACGGATGGGGGGAGAAAAATGCTCCGGCCTTGGCTGGCCAGGCTGCCCCCAGATGTACTGGGCAAGGGGAGGCAGGGCTGCTCCCGAGAGGGAGGCACCCTTCCCACCCAGGCGTCCTCCCCTCCTTGGACTGCAAGGGCCAGAATTCCTGCAGGGCAGGGGAATTCTGGGCGATGTAGTCCCAAGACTCCCAGAGGGAGCCCGTGCCTCCCGCTTTGCAGGGTTTCGCGCCGCCTCCTCCCCCTGGCAGCTGCCGACAGAGGGGGCAGGAGCTGCCATTCAGAAACACTCTGTTTATCCCGCGGCTTTGCCCCTGCACCAGCACCGGATTTTGCAGTCGGAGCGGCTGCTGGTCAGGGCTGGTTGCATAGGGGACAGGCCCGTCGGCCGAGCTTCGTGTTCTGATGCTCCTGGGCCGGGGAGGGAGTGGGGCACTCGGTATGGGGTAACTTTAGGGAAGTCGTTTCACGGTGTGTGCAGGGGCCGCTGGGGGCGGGGAGGGTCTCCCCGCGATTCCTTTAGGGCACACGTTTGTGGCAGGGAAGGGGCAACACGGGTGAGTCTGCAAAAGCAGGGTCTGTGCCCGGGGTGCCCGCTGCTGGATTAGACCGGGGTGCACTAAGTAGGCAGCGAAGGGGCTTGCTTTGGCATTTGAATCAAACTTTTTAGCACTGGGTGCCCCCAGGGACGGAAGGTGCCAGAGGTGGGAGCCCTCTTGGAGGAGGGCGGCAGGTGGCCTGAATGATGGGGGGGCATCACTGGGGTCAAGACTGGAAGTTTGTTCTCCTGGCACGATTCTCCAGCGCTCCTTGGCTAGAAAACCCACCAGGTGCCTTCTGCCGACCACGTGTTATATTATTTATTTATTATTGCTTGCGTGTTATATCGATAGAGAGAGGGCCGCCATCTCGCCAGGTGCTCCTCGGGGGGGGGGCGAACTTAAGATTTTGAACAGAAGAGAAGAACAAAACCAACAGCATAATACAATAATGTATAAGACGTAGCATTGGTCACGATTAGTTTTTTTGTGGGTTGGCGTGATGCGCAACCCAGCCCCCGAGTCATGTTGAGGACGGTTGTCTGTGTGATTGATTGATAGATTGATTGATTAGGTGCCATCGAGTCATTGTTGACTCTTCACAACCCCCTAGAGCAGTGTTTCTCACCCTTGGCAACTTTAAGATCTGTGGACTTCAACTCCCAGAATTCCCCAGCCAGCATAG